GCTGGACTGGAGAATCTGAGTAGCACTTTCCTGTTTATTTCATTCCTGAATTTGTTTACAAATCACCTAATCTTGAACTGATCTTGAACTGATCTGGCTTCCTTTTCACTCAAGGTTATTTTCAGAAATCAGTCAAAGCTAGTTAGATAACTTCGTTGTGTATACGCAGGGCTTCAGGGCTAAGCCTTGGGAAGAAAACTCGTTTGTTCGCTTTATCAAAAAGAGTTGCTATTTCTATTCTCAAAACATTGTACAACTCAAAACATTGTGAAATAATTTCCTCTTTTCCTTGGTTGTTTGGGATATAATTAGTGCATTTAAGTAAGCTGTTGTCCCAAAAGACACGCTGTTATATCCCTAGATATGATCAATTAGAATTTATCATATAATGATTAGCGGCTTTAGATCAAACTTGCTACTCTGTTTGTGTAGAAAGAAGGAGGGCTACCCTCTAGCTAGATTTTTTCTTTGGGCAATATGTCTTTCAAATCCTTCATTTCACGTCTGCTTTTTTATAGATCCTTTTTTTTTTTTTCTGATATGCCTCCTATCTGGTGTTCCTGTCTGTGCTTTCTATCCAGTCTGTTGTGCTATGATTGGGTGATTTCAACAACAGACAGAAGTGTGTTTGAGAAACTTGAGTTTAAACATCTGTTTTAGGTGCATAGAAGAATCTGTAAATGACAGCAAAAATACAGGACTCCAACATGAAGACAGTTTGGTCCAGCAGGTAAGATACCTACAGATCTGAGGTAAATACCAGCCCATACTGATGACCTAGGTGAATCAAAGGGAAATCAGTGATCCCTTTGTATGGGTTCAGAGAGCTGAAATAGTGTATATAGTCAGAGAGGCTCCAGCAAAGAGAATGAGATGTGTACAGAAACTCTCTGCTCTGCACTGATACTGAACCGGGGAACATGATACAGGAACATGTCCTAAACTGATTTGTAATTTGAGGCATTCAGCACATGCATAACAATGCCAAAAATGAGAACCCTCTAGCTGTTTTCAATAATTCTCCAATGTTGTAGGAGGGAAGGCCAGAAGTCAGCCGCTGGAGTAAGTATCTGGACAAGGACAGTGAAGATCAGGAAGATGGGGAGGAGGAAACAGATACAGAAAGGCAACAGTTCTGTTCCTGGAGGAAGAACACTGTGGAAAAACGAAGGTACAGAAAGAACTTTTTTTTGTAATTCCTGCCCCCAAGTGGTGCAGTTTGTTTTGGAGGTGTGGGAGGTTGTTCATCTCTGATAGCTGAACAAAGTACAAATTGCAATGTACAACCTGACCTGAGCAGGGATTTGGTATTTGGCGGTAAATCTTTTATTGCTAAGTGCCATGCATTTTACAGACATGTCTGGTGATTTGTGAAAAAAATTCACCGTGGAGCTAATCTGTCCTCCTTGTGAATGGTTTTCTTGGTCAGGAAACAGCCAAAACGCTTCCTCTCCAGTGATGCTCAGGAGTATGCAGAGGAAAATGGAGCTTTCCAGCTTGCCTACCGAACCAAAAAGGTTAAAACCTCTGAGGTATGTTAGTTGTAGAAGATGTTTCCTACCAGTAAAATGAAACAATGTTCTCCTGACCTCTTTTGCATCATAATTTTTAATTTTTATAAGCCTTTCTCTGCTCTTCTAGTTGAATGCCTAGAGAGGATAAAATTGTGTCAGGAGTTTCTCTCTGAAAGGTTTTAGTCAGGTAAAAACAATGCCACCTTGTGTAAGCTGAGCGGTTGAGCCAAATTCCTCCATCAGCAGAGCTGCCATCTGTGCTGCTTTGCCTTACTGAGCAGTGGCACCTGTGTGGCATGCAGTTATTAAGGCTACTGTGATCACCTGCAGTGCCAGTGGCTCCACAGCCCCCCCAGTCCATAGGCCCACCCAGCACATCAGCCTCAGCTCTGCCTCAGTGGGCTGGTGAGAATTTGGGTGCATTTGAAGCACCTGAGTGCTTGCTCTTTGCCTGCTTCTGTGTAGCTTGGCTGGGTGTGCTGGATTTATAACCCAGCTCTCTCTCTTCGTACAGGGCAAGAAATGTTTAGTAGCAGTGGCTGACCAAGATGATGGAGATGCTGTTTCTGGAGAGAGCACGGTTCCTGCTGTCTGTGAGTCCACAGTGCCTGTGGAGAATACACAAACCCCAACTGCTTCTACCAAGTCCTCAAAGTGGGAAAAATTTCTCACCTTGTCACCACAGGAGGGCAGTGGAAGGTTGGGGCTACACAGCACTGCTGCAGCAGACACTGGTGTGGCCAGGGGGTGCTCGGAACAGGCTGGAAGAACTCTACCTGAAGGTATAGGTTTTGAATTTAAAAAGCATGTTGCTAGCACTGAGCAGCTTGCCTCAAAACTGTCCAGCACCAGTTGCTCAGTTGAAGAGGATGCGTTGTTCAAAGAACCTCAAAGCCAGTTGATAAGGGCAGGATCTGTCTTAGAGACTGCTTCGGGAAGGTGCTGTTGGGAGAGCCCTAGGAGGGCAAGCGCCCTTGTTAACTCTAACATGGGGCCAAAGCCCAGCAGTGTTTCTTGCAAACATCTCTTCTGCACAGGTGAGGAGTTTGATGATGATCTCTGACAAGTTCAGGCATCTTTGGCCTTGATTTCTTGTCTTTCTAATGTGTTTTATATGTTCAGTACTGAGACAAGATTTGGACCTGAAGATGGCTTTACTCTAAGCCTAACAGAACTGCACTATTAAAGTTGTTTACTTGCTCTCGTGGCTGTGTCTGAGGGAAGGGGAGGAGGGTGGAAAAGACTGTGGCAGGGGGCAAGTACTGAGATTACAGCATGATATTTAGCAACCTCATCAGCTAGAAATAAGAAGGGAAGTAGGTCATCTTTGGGGGAGAAAGCTCCAAGAATTCCTGGCCCGTGCAATTAAATTCTGTGATTAATTCCTCACTACAAGCTACATTTCTTTTCCTCTTTGTTTAGATCTCCCATAGCAACCCTTTCTTAGGAACTGCAGAGCAGGCTTCAGAGCCAGCAAAGCATTTTATTTCTCTTCAGAGTGTAGCCCTAAGGTATGTGCAAAAACACAGACCTAGTCCAGGGCTGTATCCTTGCCCAGTGACCTGCCTGATGAAATCACATGCTCTTAGCCCAGTCCTTCCCCTCCCTTACCACATACAGCTGTGATTCTTAAAGCACTCACACAGATTCATCACAGGAAGTAGTATTTATTTTTCTTCCATTCTACAAGCACTTAGGAACAGGAGACAGAAACCCTTAGCAGGAAAAAAGATGAACCGCCAAGTAAGTTGTACTGCATTGTTTGCTTTCAGTTAGAAGGAAAGTGCTTTTGTTACACTGACTACTACAAGTGAGGTGTCTGCTTGGAATACTGGATGGCATCTAGTGCTGCCCCAATGTCGCAGTTCTTTGTCTGCAGGAGTCGAGTGAGCCATCCACCCTCATCAGAGAAGCCCATAGAGAGCATCTGGGACAGAGATTCAATGAGGCGAGGGTCTGCTTCTGTGAAGAGAGTAATAGTTCAAAGTTGAAATATTTAATACGACTGGCAAACTAGACAAGGCTTTCATACAACACAGTAGGTGGGCTGGCACTAATCCTGGCATTTGACCAGCTATGCTAGATTTACTAGAAAACATACTCTCCTTTGTCTCCCAGGAAGGCAGATGTTCAAGATAAACCATACATAACCAGCTTAGGAAACTGCTGAGTCAGACTCAGCTGGCCTTGCTGTAGGACTCTGCTGTTGATCTCAGTTAAGTGGCTTGGCAAAGTTACTGGCTCCCACCAGAAAAATGCTGGCGTGAAGTAACAGGATATACTGGTCTGCATCCTGCATTAAAGGGCTCTCTAAGAGTACACCAGGACAAGATTTAGGATACCACCTTTTTTCATGTTGCTTGAACAGTGTTATTAGTCTAGGGTCAGAAGTCTTGTTAAGACTAAGCTGCCACATTCAAGAGGAGAACCCCCTGACTGTCTCTAACAGGGTGCAAGAGCTGCCATACCTGCTAACAAAGTTACTGACAAGTTTAGCTGTAACTTCTGTGCCTTGCTTTCTACCATCTCTAAAAGCAGGTCTGCAAATGTCAGGCAAGTTAGTAGTTCCTGAGAGAAAATTACTCTCAGTTATGAAACCTGCCCACATCCTCATACCTGGTGGGAGATGCGGGTAGAGTGCAGCTTCTCGCAGTCCTGTAGGTCCTGGCTGGGGAGGATCCTGAGATGCATCTAGGGAGCTGGGACCTTCTGTCTCTGGCATTTGCAGAGACTGCAGTTCACCTGTGGAGGGATCCACTTCTTTGGAAGATAAGTGGGTCCAGTCTTCATCAACCCCTGATGAACTGCTAGACTCACTGTGTTCCTGAAATGGAAAAAAAAAGATCCAGGTGCTGCAGTGCATTCCAGGTAGGATGCATGCTCCTACTATCCGTCTTTAATACTAGGAGTTAACATCCACTCTAAGATCCCACCGCCTTTGCTGTAAACATGTAAAGCAAAGGTGCTGTGTATCACTTCATATGCTAACATCTTAAAATTCAATCCCACAGTGCATGCCAAATCATTATCTTCTTTTCTAGTAAAGCCTCAGCAACCATATTAAACTAGTATCATAGTTCCTGTACCTGGGACTGGAAGCTGCTATCTTCCATTTGTGTAGGCACAGGATCTATCACCATGTCTTGTACCTGCTCTGCAACAGCATTTACTTCTGTGGCAGAATCTGTGTTACTCCAGTCTGGTTTGGTCTGAACGTTCTGGTTAGGAGTACTGCTGCTTGACTCAGCACTGTTCTCCTGATTGGGAGCAGCAGGAGTCACTTTGCTTCTCTGTCCTCCATGTTCCACATCAATATCAACTTCAATACCTAGAAATGCATTTGAGATGGAGAAAGTCTCAGATTTTTCCCAAAGCACAGTCCTAGAAGAGCATGGCTCGATCCTAGTCTAAACGCTGTAAGGTTTCTGTAATCCTGCAGTTTGCCATGCAACATGTAGGAATTAAAATGCAAAGCATTCTTTAAACAAATAGCACCAAATAGTCCTCATCTGCTATCCAGACAAGCCATACATTTAGAGGGCCAGGGCAGAAATTATCTATGTCTGCATACGCCAGGCAAAATCCTGAGTCACCAGTGGCTTATTAGTGTTACAGTCGTGACATGTTACCGAAATCTTTCCTCATTTCCTTCCAAAGAAGGGCTCTGAAAAGGTACCAAGTGACTGTTCTAAGCCTAGGCGTTATTAGCACCAGGAGTAAATTAACCCTTCAGGGCTTAGTAGCATGAAGTAGTTCTGGTACCAGTCACAACAGCTTGCTGCTGCTCCTGTTAGAAGGACCTTTGAGGCAGTCTCGGGGATTGGGGTAACAAACTGTAAAATCACTTACCCAGGGGGCTCAGAAAAGCTGCAACACTCTCCCCAACATTCTTTAAGAAGGTGACATTGGGGTCCTGAGGCTGGCTGTTAGTAGAAGCTTCTAGAAAAACAATTTCTGTTAGCACACATAGGAGCTCAGAGGGAAAGA